AAATTTCAACTGTGATTTATACCACTATAAATATTATTTTTGGAGGAGATGAAACAAAGGTTGACTTGTCTCCATTTGACATTGGTTAATTAATCATCCAGCTTCTGGCAGAATATTGCCCAGAGATGAGCTAACCCACAGTTGATAATTGTATAAAAATGGTTATCTCCACTACAGGGCCAGGACACTTGCTTCTGGAGCAGTGGAATCCTCTGGGGGTGGTTGGGGTGATAACCGCTTTTAACTTCCCAGTGGCAGTATTTGGATGGAACTCCTCCATAGCTTTGACCTGTGGGAATGTGGCTCTCTGGTAAGCTGGAGTCAGATTCCCAGTCAAGTTGGGATAGTTTAGCTTGGTAGTGATTTCTGTATCAATAGAGTGGTGACACTTTTAAATAACTCTTGAAAGCTGGTCTAAAACTACTGACAAAAGATGCAAGGTGTACATATTATAGCACACTGAACATGCTTATTTAGTGATTGTTAATAGAATACAATTTGGTCAGCTAACCAATAAATTTGTCAAGCAATTTTCATATGAAAAAAAAATAATTTCAAAATTTGTTTTTACAGTTTGAAATGTAATATTTCATATTTTGAAATCATCCTTACCTATAGGAAGGGAGCGCCCTCTACCCCACTCACCAGCATTGCTGTTACCAGGGTGATGACCTCTGTCCTTGAAGCTAACAACATGCCCCCTGCAGTGGTATCTCTGGTGTGTGGGGGTGCTGATATTGGGTAAGTGTTAGTTTTTATAAGCTAACAACATGCCCCCTGCAGTGGTATCTCTGGTGTGTGGGGGTGCTGATATTGGGTAAGTGTTAGTTTTTATAAGCTAACAACATGCCCCCTGCAGTGGTATCTCTGGTGTGTGGGGGTGCTGATATTGGGTAAGTGTTAGTTTTTATAAGCTAACAACATGCCCCCTGCAGTGGTATCTCTGGTGTGTGGGGGTGCTGATATTGGGTAAGTGTTAGTTTTTATAAGCTAACAACATGCCCCCTGCAGTGGTATCTCTGGTGTGTGGGGGTGCTGATATTGGGTAAGTGTTAGTTTTTATAAGCTAACAACATGCCCCCTGCAGTGGTATCTCTGGTGTGTGGGGGTGCTGATATTGGGTAAGTGTTAGTTTTTATAAGCTAACAACATGCCCCCTGCAGTGGTATCTCTGGTGTGTGGGGGTGCTGATATTGGGTAAGTGTTAGTTTTTATAAGCTAACAACATGCCCCCTGCAGTGGTATCTCTGGTGTGTGGGGGTGCTGATATTGGGTNGTAGGTTTTTTTGTGGTTTAAATATGAAAAGTTGCCTTAACAAGATGGTTATATAGATGTTACAGTGCATATTCAATAAAAAAGGCATTGCCAGTTTCGTTAAAAATGAAGATGCCAATCAAACCTTTAACATGTTTTAATTAATTTAATTGCTTTGCATTTCAGAACACTGATGGCTAAAGATGAAAGGATCCCTCTTGTCTCCTTCACTGGGTCTACACCAGTGAGTAAACAATGTGATACTGCTGATTAAGTTGGTATTTTAAAAGCAGACATGTTTAATAACTTGACATTATGAAAGACATGAATTATAGATGTAGACCAGGGTGCCAAACATTGCTTAATTCATAATCTCTTGACATTGCACCATTAAAACTTCTAGAAAGAAATCATCAAATCCATTGTCGTGATTTTGATAAAAAAGAATTACTTAATAAGTTGCCCTTATTAGAGGTATGAAACTTACAGTTTTGGATGCACTTTTGCATGTAGACATTGATAAATGCACCATTTATTTTTCAAAAGTAATATTTACTCAAAGGTTTCATTCTGATGTTTCGTCTGTGTTCTCTAGGTTGGACACATTGTTGCACAGATGGTGACAGAGAGGTTTGGTGAGTTGTCTGTTTACAATATCTATCACCTAGGAAAGTCGTAGATTGTCTTTGGGACTGCTTACAATGAATTTTGTCAATGTGCCTAATGCCCGCTGTCTATCTCGACAGGAACTCTCGCTGAATGCAACCATATTAAATGAGCAACACGCCTCCTGTTGTTTCCAATGTACTTACATAATCACCAAGTTTTCTGTATTCTACTCTACCCCACTAGGAGACATAATAATCTGTTAAACTGATTGCATTCAGCCAGCATCAGCACAGTGTTAGTTCAATATAGTTTCATTGTGAATGTATTCTTTGATATCTGTGATATTAAATTGATTCATCCTTGTGGTTTCTCTCTCTAGTATAAAATGACTATGAGAGTAAAAATGTAATCATGTAATTTTTCAACCCAATGTCTGTATTTCGTGTTCTATTTTTCATGGCTGTTGATTTGGTTTTGATGTGTGGTTATTAATCCATTTTAGGGAAAAAGATTCTGGAATTGGGAGGCAACAATGCTATTATAGGTAAATGATGTGGACCTACTTGTTTCATTCATTTAAAACATTTGTGAAGGTAATGAATGGAAACTTGATATACTTCACTGTATTTTACGACTACTGTTACTGTTGTTCTTGTCAGATGAGATCCTAGCATATAGTGTAAAAGTTTCAAACTTTTTGATTAACCAAACAATGATGATAATTTATATATTTTGTTCTTTCATTAACTTTAAGATGATTGGGTGCTTTACAAGGCTATAACCTGACATCATATACCAATGTTAATTTATGTCACATTATAAACTACAAAACCACTCAGAGGAGCCAGACCTCTGCCAAAGCAGTTTCATTCTTATTATTTGATAAATAAATTTATAAATTAATTAATGGATCACCAGCAAAATGCCATTGTTGCATATCTCTTCCAGTAAACGAGGATGCAGATGTTGACATGGTCGTAAGAGCCTCTTTGTTTGCCTGTGTGGGGACAGCTGGGCAGAGGTGTACCACAACTAGGAGACTGGTAAGTGTAAATACAGACTTAAAGTGTTTACCTGTGTGGGGACAGCAGATGTACCACAACTAGGAGACTGGTAAGTGTAAATACAGACTTAAAGTGTTTACCTGTGTGGGGACAGCAGATGTACCACAACTAGGAGACTGGTAAGTGTAAATACAGACTTAAAGTGTTTACCTGTGTGGGGACAGCAGATGTACCACAACTAGGAGACTGGTAAGTGTAAATACAGACTTAAAGTGTTTACCTGTGTGGGGACAGCAGATGTACCACAACTAGGAGACTGGTAAGTGTAAATACAGACTTAAAGTGTTTACCTGTGTGGGGACAGCAGATGTACCACAACTAGGAGACTGGTAAGTGTAAATACAGACTTAAAGTGTTTACCTGTGTGGGGACAGCAGATGTACCACAACTAGGAGACTGGTAAGTGTAAATACAGACTTAAAGTGTTTACCTGTGTGGGGACAGCAGATGTACCACAACTAGGAGACTGGTAAGTGTAAATACAGACTTAAAGTGTTTACCTGTGTGGGGACAGCAGATGTACCACAACTAGGAGACTGGTAAGTGTAAATACAGACTTAAAGTGTTTACCTGTGTGGGGACAGCAGATGTACCACAACTAGGAGACTGGTAAGTGTAAATACAGACTTAAAGTGTTTACCTGTGTGGGGACAGCAGATGTACCACAACTAGGAGACTGGTAAGTGTAAATACGGCTCTTGGAGTATAAATAGTTTGGCTGTAATTTTTGAGTAAGTTTTTTTGCTGCAAAATAAGACCTGAGAAAAACTGATTTTCAGAAAGAAATCTCCACTTTCACACATGCAAAATAACTGCCAGTTATGGAGAATTTGCCAGAAAAAAATATGAAAATAATGTTTTCTTCTTGCAAACACAGGTATTATATTTGGTCTGTCATTAGGCATGCAGGATAAAGATATCTTAAACTGTTTTGTAAGATGACAACTTTGTTTTACACTTCCACATTTACACTGACCATCATACTCTAAATGCTTTGTCTGTATGTCTTCAGTTTGACACAGAATTCTTATGAGAAACTTTTTTATTTCAGATTGTCCATGAGAAATTGTATGATGCAGTTTTATCTGGACTGAAGAAAGCGTACGGGCAGGTCAAAATGGGCGATCCACTAGAACGTAAGCGCACAACTTTTCTTTCAGCAAATATCTCTTCTTGGTACTGTAACAGCAGTTCGTGTTACACGAGCTGTATGATATATGCGTGTCCAGCACATATGATGTTAAAAAAAAAATAAAATGGGCTGCTTTTTTTCTATTATAATTTTAGAAATTTTCGTATTTCCCTTAGATTTCTTTTCAGATTTTTATTATCTGCTCAAGATTTCTTTTCAGATTTTTATTATCTTCTCAGTAGATTTATTCATTTACACATATAATAATTTATTAATTGCTCCCTCTGCCCTATGAAGACATAAAAAGCTGTTCTGTTTCCCTCCAGCTGGCACACTACTGGGACCAATGCATTCTAAACAAGGAGTGGAATTATATCTGAAAGCAGTAGCAGATGTCCAAGCACAGGGTGGAAAGATAGAAGTTGGAGGCAAGGTTAGATAACACAGGCCAAAATTCTTTTTATGCTTGATATTTCTTGAACAAGGTCTTTGTTGTATAGCCATCCCCCTTGCCGCCCTTAGCATTTTGTGTATGGAGATGGGGCCACACTTACGCTAAATTTATAGCTTTAACAGCTCTAACAACTTATACCCTGTCTTTTAATTATAGTTTATCAGTCAATTTTCAATGATTTTTTGACATGACTCTAATAAAATTTACCCTTTCAGTCTCTCAGAGTAGTTAGATATTCAGAGAGAGAGAGAGAGAGATAAAGAGAGAGAGAGAGAGATAGCTGAGGAAAAATTTAATGCTGTTAATGTCATTGAGTTTCTTAGATAAGAATTTTAATGTAGCATTTTTATATAAAAAATAAACAAATATCTTGACACTATTCTTGTAGGCAGTGGATCGACCAGGAAACTTTGTTGAGCCCACCATCGTGACTGGTTTACCCCATGACGCGGAAATTGTACATAGAGAGACATTTGCTCCCATTGTCTACATTATGAAGTGCAAGGTTAGTGTTCCCATGAGTCCTTGTTCTTCTGTGTAAGTCACTTTTTTAATAAATATGTATGTTGGAAGTGGAAAATCAAATTTATAAAGTAACTGGCTTTTATTAATATGTATTGTTTTTATTTTATTTTTGACTATTATTACTTATTATTGAAATGGGAGATGTTCAGTTTGATGGATTTTCTCTTTTAACAAGATTATCTGATCCCATTTTGATAAATAGTAGCATCCTTTATTTTGGCAATTCTTCCATTCATTTTGCAAAGTCGTATTTGGACTGTTGACTGTAAGGAAGTTGACGATCTTTTTCCAATATATCACTTATGTCACCACTGATGTTGTAGAGTTTAGAAGAAGGTATCAAATGGAACAATGAGGTAAAGCAGGGGTTATCCAGTAGTCTCTTCACCAGGGATATCAGTAATGTTTTCAAATGGATTGGGTAAGTATAACCGTGACCTTTAAAATTTATTCCTGAAATTTTATAGAAATAAGGAGTATTTGTTAGAAAAAGGGACTTTTGCTGGTGTTTGTTCAAATGTTAGTTTATCAGAGGCAGTTGAATATTGAATAATTAATTGCTTTTACAACTAGTCATCATTATTT